CCCCAGCCAGGATGCTTTAAGAGGGGTGGACTGCATTTCCCAGAATCCCCCAGCCAGCATGCTTTAAGAGGGGTGGACTTCAACTCCCAGAATTCCCCAGCCAGCATGCTTTAAGGTGCCTGGAATTCTGGGAATTGAAGTCCACATTAGTTTCTAAGGTTGAGCAACACTGTCTTAAGTGTCTGATGGAAATCTGGAGGTCCCTGCTGTAAATGTGACTTGCCTTGTGTTTGTCTTTGTCTCTCTCTCCCTCTCCCCCTCCCTCCCTCCCCCTCCCCTCCCCCTGGGGCAGACCCGGCCCCTCTTCGAGCTCCGCTGCTCCAACAACGTGGTGCACATCCACACCTGCGCTGACTCTTGTGCTGCCCTCGCCAACCTCATCCAGTACGTGGTCAACAAAGGGGACCAGCACCCGCCCCGTCGGCACGACAGTCCCACTGAGATTGCGGGACAGAAGGTGCAGGTGAGTCCAACCTTGTGGGTAGGAGGGGGAGGGAGACTCTGGCCAGGTTAAACCAAGGAGGGTGGATGTGCCCTTCCCTCTCTCGGTGGAAGAGGGAGTTCTCGACCTACGGCTGCAATTAGGGCCAGAATTTTTGCTGCTAAGCAGGATGGCTGAGTTAGCCAAGCCCGATTTTGCAATCTTTTTTTTTTTTTTAACCACGGTTGTTAAAGAAATCACAGTGAATAGTGAATAGTGCCAGTCCTTTAAGCGAATTTGGCTTCTTTCGTTGATCTTGGATGGGAAGGTTGCAAATGGTGATGTGATGTGATGACCCAAAGGGGCGTGACACAAAAATAACAAAGTCACAAAAGTAGAATAAATTCCCTTTAATGCCTCCAACTTGGCCCACAATGTCCAATCATCCTCGGCTGGATAATAAACTCTTCAAAAACAGTCTATGAAGGGCAGAAATGCAGTCCAAACCCAAAGTAAAGATAATTAGAAATTAAAACCCCAACACAAACCACACTGAAGTCATTAACACGGCAGGCCAGGATGATAAATTGCAGGCTTTCAAAGGAATAATGCAGCACCCACAGTTGGGAGGACGCCAAAACCCAGATACGCCTCGACCAAGAAAATGCACACTTTGCTTCCAGCAACTTTGCCATGTGCAGTTTGCCCTTTTAAACAGTATTCTCGGCTGCAGCCCATGAAGGGGATCAGGGCCTTCTTCTCTCCCGCAAGCCAGGTTGTTCCCTTCTCTGTTCCTCCTTCCATGCCCTAAGATGAAGAGGGGGTGGCCCTGGGTCTTCCTCCGAATGCCCAGCCGGACTGTGCCCTTCCCCCGTTTCCTCCACAGCCACCGGAGCCAAACTCTCATTCCCAGTCAGCTGCTCAACCTCCCCCTCAGAATCAGACCCCAACAAGGGCATGACAGGTGATCTGGGTCATCTGGGATCCTGCAGAAACAATGCTGGTTGCCAAGCGCCTGGATTTTAATGACATAACCATGTGGATGCTGCAACGGTCATAAATGTGAGACACATCCCTTCAGTGCCGTTATAATTTCAAATGGTCACTAAATGAATAGATGTAAGTCAGGAACGACCTATACAGGTATCTATGGGGATTTTCAATCATCCAGGTCAGGGTTGTCCCAAAGGTGCTTTTTTCAAGAGGCAACTGGACTTTTTGGTTTTTCTTTGAAGAGGTTTCGCTTCTCATCCAAGAAGCTTCTTCAGCTCTGATTGGATGGTGGGGAAGGGAAGGATTGATGCTCCTTGCAGATCGGCTGGTCACTTGCATCCTTTGAGAGTCATTGAGGTGGCCTCAGTGACCCTCCGGTATAGTCTGGCGTGCGTAATTCAGAGTCCCCTGTGCCCCCGTTTCCCCCCTCCCCCGCGGGTGTATCATAAATCAGACTTTCCAGTGAGGCACGTTCAGGTGTCCTAAATCGGCCAGAATACCCAGTCGCCTAGCTACCATCTTTTGAAGGTAAGGGTGGAAGGTACTTCTGGTTTTACTGGCGCACCGCTCCCTCAGAGTCCACACACACACACACACACACACACCCCTTGTTTATGGCAACTTGAAAACAGGCATAGGAATGTTTTACGAGTTGACGTCCGCCACATTTACATACCCAGCGTCTGATGGCATTTCCAACATTTGGCGGACATGTTTTGGGACGTCTGTGCTAAACTTGCCGGTGGCAGACGCCGCCTATGAAACATTTTGTATGGGTTTTCCTTATAAGTCGTTGCCATTGTCAACGTATAATTTCTATCCCAGCGTACGCGCTTTAAGTGTGGCCTCTTGTGCTCTGCTAGTTGTCCGAAAGCCCGGCTTCTCTGCCTACCTGTCCCCCAGCTGAGACGGCGGCCATCAATCAGCGGGACCTGACGGATGCCCTCATGGATACCGAGCGTGGATACCAGGAAATGACCGGTGAGAGTGGGCAGGAACAGGGAGGAGGTGTTGACTTCTAGCTTGACTTTGGATGACACTTCGCAACACCGGTGGCATTTCCACCTGTGGTGGGTTGAACAATTCGAATATTGAATAACAGAGTTGGAAGGGACCCTGGAGGTCTTCTAGTCCAACCCCCCGCCCAAGCAGGAGACCCTACACCATTTCTGACAGATGGCAGTCCAGTCTCTTCTTGGAAGCCTCCAGGGATGAAGCTCCCACAACTTCTGAAGGCAACTTCTGTTCCATGGGTTGATGGTTCTCACTGTCAGAAAATTTCTCCCTATTTCCAGGTTGAGTCTCTCCTTGATCAGTTTCCATCCATTCTTCCTTATCTGGCCTTCGGGTGCCTTGGAGAATAGCTTGACCCTCTCCTCCTCCTCTCTTGGGCAGCCCCTCAAGTATTGGCACACTGCTATCCTGTCTCCCCTGGTCCTTCTCTTCCCTAGACTAGCCAGGCCCAGTTCCTGCAACCGTTCGTCGTATGTTTGAGCCTCCAGTCCCCTCATCATCCTGGTTGCTCTTCTCTGCCCTCTTTCCAGGGTCTCAACCTCTTTAAGAATACTACCCTTGATCTTAGCTGAAAGGCCGAGAAGGGACCTCGGTCTCTATCCAAACAATTGACCCGTTGGGATCCCCATATCAAACCAACTTAACTTACGTGTGGCCAGAATCTGAAAATAACATTGACCACAGCACAGTACTTAAGCAAAAAGGGTTCGGTTGAGATCAGCATACGCGGGACGGATTGGGGTTGATTGCAGGGGGGACACTGAAATGTAATTTTATTGTATTTTATATCTTAAAGGATTGTATTTTATTCCAATTTCATTTTAAATTGTATTTTATTCCAATTCCATTTCAAATAGACTTTCTCAAATTTCAGTAATCGTTTGTTTCCAGAACCATGCACTTTGAGATGGCCCAGGGGCTAATCACTCAATAAAATGAAATAAAATTAAGGATAGAATGAATGAACTGGAAGGGACCTTGGAGGTCTTCTAGTCCAGCCCTCTGGAGTTTGCAAGGTTGCAAAAAGAAGTTTTGCAAGTTTTGACTTTTCCAGCCTGTTCTGGGGATTTGAGGGGGTGCCTCCTGTGCAAGGGAGTGCAACTTGTGTGAACGCAGCTACTCAACCCTCTTTCCAATGCTCTTTCCCAGGGGATTGTGGGATGAGGCGGCAGCCTTCGCCGGTCTCGGTGTATCTCTTCCCTGGTGAGAATGGAACAGCAGGCCAAGGAAAGCCCCCCCCACCCGCCGGGACCCCAGTGGGCGAGGGTCTCGATTTCAGCCCTTCGGAGGACAGCGAAGGGGAGAGCGAAGCCACAGATGGGTTCTGCATTTTGGATGCTCCGGGAACAGGCATTCCGGTAAGGATTTGGCCGCCATTGGAGTCTCCTTCGAGGGTTGCAGCGGGAATCTTCTGAGGAAAGTTACTGCAGAGTCAGCACAACAAAGGATAGGATAGGATAGGATAGAATGAACAGAATAGAATGAACAGAATGCAATGGAATAGAGAACAGTATAGAGTAGAGTAGAGTAGAGTAGAGTAGAGTAGAGTAGAGTAGAGTAGAGTAGAGTAGAGTAGAATAGAATAGAATAGAATAGAATAGAATAGAATAGAATAGAATAGAATAGAATAGAATAGAATAATAAAGAGAAGAGAAGAGTGGAAAGAATAGAATAGAAAATAGAATAAGAATAGAATAGAATAGAATAGAATAGAATAGAATAGAATAGAATGCAATATAGAATAGAATAGAATAGAATAGAAATAGAATAGAAATAGAATAGAATGCAATGCAATAGAGAACAGAATAGAGTAGAGTAGAATAGAATAGAATAGAATAGAATAGAAATAGAAATAGAAATAGAAATAGAATAGAATAGAATAGAATAGAATAGAATAGAATAGAATAGAATAGAGAATAGAATGCACTCTTACTAAGCAGTTTGACAGTGTTGTGGAAATTAGGTGTTTAGCAGAGGGATGGCAGTGGGGGAAAAACTCTCCTTGTGCCTAGTTGTTCTGGTGCGCAAAGCCCTCGAGCACCTTCCCGAGGGGAGCAGTTGGAACGGTTTACGTCTCGGGTGCGAGGGGTCTGTAGGGCGGTTCTTCCTGCCTCGAAGTCAGGACGTTCAGGCAGTCCCAGGAGCTGCTGATCTCGTTCCAGAGATGAATTATCGAATTTGTCCTTTGCTATTTTAATAACTGTCTGGTTTGGCACAGGAACCAAATGGGACAAGTACTGCATTCTCCTCTTCTCTTCCCTTCTCTTCTCTTCTCTTCTCTTCTCTTCTCTTCTCTTCTCTTCTCTTCCTTCTCTATTCTATTCTACATTCTATTCTGTGTTCTGTTCTGTTCCATTCCATTCCATTCCATTCCATTCCATTCCATTCTATTCTATTCCATTCTATTTTCTATTCTATTCTGTATTCTATCCATTCCCTCCCCTCCCCCTCTTTCCCCCCCTCCCCCCCTCCCCACTCCCTTCCATTCTTATTATTCCGGGGAGGTGCAGGGGCCAGGCTGTTCCTCCCTTTGGCTTTTCAGCAGTCCCATTCATCTAAAAGCTGATTTTGCCACCACCACCCCAGGCCCAGTTGACCAGATTCGTTGTTGCGTTGCCACTATTTCTCCAGCTCCATTTAAAAAATGAGGGGGGGGCAGCTTTTCACGCCCCCCCCCCGGACCCTCTTGGGAAATCCTGCCTTCTGTCTCTGCAGCCTCGGGACGGGGAGCCGGTGGTAACCAAGCTCTTGGACGGCCCCGTCCACATCCGGGAGGGCCACTTCTCCCGGCCCCTGGGCAGCACGGATTTACTGAGGGCCCCCTCGCACTTTCCCGTGCCCGAGAGCCGAGTCGTGATGCGGGAAATTTCGGTGGTCTGGCATCTCTACGGGGGCAGAGATTTTGGGCCGGGGCGCTCTCCCCCAGGACACCTGCCTTCCCCCAGGTAATCCCCTCCTCCCGGCACCTGCGCTCTGAGCTAAGTTTGCTTCCCTGTTTTGAAGACGCATCGTTTGAGGGAAGGGTCTTCTTTAAAAGAAAGAATATTAATATACCGTACGAGCCGGACGCCTCTGCTTCGCTAGGAAGCTATGTGGTCGGGCTTAGGAAAATAAAAGGGGGGTGGGGGGGGGAATTCTGCCTCTGCCTACCAGCATCCGTTGGTATTCATCTGGCTAGCCCCCTGTCGGTGCGTGAGAGAGTTGAGGGCTGTTTGGAAATTGAAGCAGTATTTGCTGTGTGAGCAAGAAGGAGACAGCCAGGAGCCTGGGCGTGGCTTAGCTCAACTGTTCTGGACAAAAGGTGCTTGGGGCTGCTGTGAAACTGAAACTGAAACTCCTCCGCTTGTGTTTTGCATTTCTTTTCAGCTGGGAGGGGGGAGTAGAACTTCTTGGCATCAGAGCATAATAATAATAATAATAATAATAATAATAATAATAATAATAATAACAACAACAACAACAACAACAACAACAACAATAACAATAATAATATAGGCAATACCAATGCTCTGATGGTCATTTCAGAGAATCCTTTCTTAGTGAGCATCTGGAGCCAAGAGGAACCCACGTGCTGAATTTCAAGTTTGTAGGCTTTACGGTTCTAGAGATTTTGTGATGATGCGTGAGTGGCATTTCACTTTTATATAGATAGATTTTTTTCAGAGTATCAGACGCACTTTTTCCACCCCCAAAAGTGGTGGAAATGTCTGTACGATCCTCTGTAGGGATCACTTCATTTTGCAAACACAATTCTCGCTGCCATTAACACATGGAAAATTAAATATGTTTTCCCTTTATTATACTGTTCTGGTAGTATACCCAACAGGAATATTTCTGGTTTCAAATCTATGTATTGTTTTATCCTTTTTTCTAACCATGTATGTATTTTAGTCCAGTATTTTTTGCCTTTGGGCATGTCCACCACATATGATAATACAACCCTGGCATCTGATTACACTTCCGAAAAGGCCTCCTTTCTACGTGGATTGGTGGTTCTCAACTACAGGTCGTTCTCGACTTATGATGGTTCATTGAGCGACCGTTCCCAAGGGCACTGAAAAAAGTGACTTAGGACTGGTTTTTCATGCTTACGACCATGGCAGAATCCCCAGGGTTACCTGATCAGAATTGGGATGCTTGGCAATTGACTCGTATTTCTGATGGTCACAGTGTCTCTGGGTCACGGAATCCCCTTTTGCGACTTTTTGACCAGCACAGTCAATGGTGGAAAACCAACCAACCAATTCATTTAGCAACTGTGGCAAATCGAGTCGTAACATAGGGTGAAACTTGCTTACCCAATGTTTCCCTTAGCAACAGAAATTTTGGGTTCCATTGTGGTCATAAGTCAAGGACTACGTGTATAAGTTCGGTGGACTTCAACTCCCAGAATTCCACAGTCAGCCAAAGATGGAGAATTCTGGCTGTTTGTCAGAGTTGTTTCCAGAACAACTACTATTGTGAAACAACCCAGGAGCAAAACACAGCACACAGGGGCTTTGTCTTTTAACAGTGGTTTATATACAAGACAGCTATATACATACATAGACGTGGTCGGTAAATACCTGGCATGCAATCAGTCTTCTTTACTCTGCATGGAGAACTCCAATGGAGATAAAACACCAGAAGTATGTCCTCTCATGGCCTCCTATATATAGACAGCTTCTTAAAAGGGGAATAACCCTGTGGGACCCATCCTCAGCCTTAAAGTGGCAATTCCACTCCTGACTCATCCTCATTGCATCAGCTTTTTACAGCAGTGTTACAGCAGCTGGTCAGCTATTCAATCTCAATACCTTAACAGAGTTGAAGTTTACCAATCTTATAGCTGCCTGCTTTGAAAACGCTGATGGAGGTGGAATTCCCTAATAGCAAGAGCCCTTAGACTTATATAGCACTTAGACTTACATAGTGCTTTACAGCCCTCTCTAAGCGGTTTATGGGGGGGTCAGCCTGTTGCCCGCAACAATTTGGCTCCTCATTTTACCCACCTCAGAAGGAGGGAAGGCTGAGTCAACCTGGAGCCTGGTGGGATTTGAATTGCCAAATTGCAGGCAGCTGCCTGCAGCAGAAGTCGCTTGCAGTACTGCCCTCTAACCACTGTGCCACAGAGGCTCCATCTAATGCTGGCAAGAGATTGGCCAGATCTTTTTTTTGGGGGGGTGGGGGTGGGGATATTAATACCTACCAATATCTGATCACCACATCTTTCAAATTCCAGGACAAAATCAAGCTTTCCCAGCACCCGCTCCTCCCCCTCTCGGTCTTCGGTGCCCAGCCGACCCCAGAGCTCCTGGCGGGCGCAAGGAGGCCCCGGCCGTATCCACGACCTGCTGATGGAAATCCAGCTTACTAAGGTGAGATGGGGAGGGGCTGCTCAGCATGGGCGGGGGGGGGGGCGGTCTGGTTCCCAAGCAGCCTTGCTTTGGGGTCAGTTTGGAGGCAGCCAGAAGAGACCGGTGGGAGCCCCCTGGGTATCAGTGGGGAAGAAGGAAAGGAAGAGAAGGAGAGGAGAGGAGAGAGAGAGAGGAGAAGAGAAGAGAGAGAGAAAAAAGAAGAAAAGAGACAGAAAGAAGAAAGAGAATAGAAGAGAGAAGAAAAGAGAGAGAGAAAAAGAAGAGAATATATAAGAGAAGAGCAAAGAGAAGAAGAGAGAGAGAGAGGAGAGAAAGAAAAGCAAGAGAGGAAAAGACAGAAAGAAGAGAGCATAGAAAAAAGAGAAGAAAAGAAAGCAAGGAAAAGGAGAGGAGAGAGGAAAGTGATGAGAAGAAAGAGAAGAAAAGCAAGAGGAAAGATGAAAAGAAAGACCAAAAGGAGAGAATAGAAAAAAAGGGAAGAAAAAAGGAAGCGAAAGGAGCAAGAAGAAAAAGAAAATATAAAAGAGAGGAAAGAGAAAGGTGAGAAGAAGAGAAAGAAAGAAGAGAGAAGAGAAAAAAGGAGATAGAAAAGACTAAGAAAGGAGAGAGAGAAGAGAAGAGCAAATCCCTGGAAGCAGATATCCAGAGGGGCAACAGGGCAACATTAGACCACAGTGGCAAACAAGTGCAGACAGTCCTCAACTTACAACATTATATTCATTTAGTGACCCTTCGAAGTTATAAACGCGCTGAAAAAAGTCATCTGTGACTGTCCCTGCCCTTACAATCCCCACGGCCCCACAATCGTGGTTGGCTGTAGTCATGTGATGACCCGCTTAACAGTCGATCTGCTTCATAATGAATTTCCTAGCCCTTTTTGTGGTCCTAAGTCGAGGACAGGTTGCCAAGGTCCTGAATTTTTATCACGGGACCGGGAGGAGGCAGTTCAGAATATAGCAGCGTAAATTCAGCGCCAGAAAAGTGAACATGGATGCCCGTTTAACTTCTTCATAAACACATAAAGTAATTTTTACAATACCAGTTGTAGATTTCTCCAGCCTGGAGCAAACTACAACAGAAGCAGACATGCTACAGGCTCAGAGCAGAGCTCAGGAGCTCAGAAACAGACCTCAGTTTCCCTTTAGTTCAGCAGGCAAGCAAGACACACAGCAGAGGAGAGAAGCCGTTTCGTCTTCAATGGGCAGAGCTCAATAGAGCTCAACGTAGCTTCAGAGCTGCAGAGCTTAATATAGAGCCACGCCTAGGCTACTTCTAGTTTCAGTTTCCAAACAGTCCTCATTGGCTGACAGCTACTACGCTCTATTCCAGCTCATGAATGTATTCTGAAAGAGGCTGCCTTCTCACAGGCCATGGGGAAGCCAGATTTACTTAACAACCTTGTGACTTAATTGGAACCACTGTAACAATTCGCTTCACAACCGTGGCCAAGAAAAGCCATAAAATGGGACAAAATTCACCTAACCAGTTCCTCCCTTAGCGACATCAATTCCAAAGTCAATGGTGGTCGTAAGTCGAGGACTTACCTGTAGTGAAGGAGGCCTGTGTACACAGCTCGTATGGTGTCAGTGACGCTTCTCCCCTTTCACCTCTGCTCTCAGGTGAGTTTCCAGCACGAATCTTACTCAGGTGGAGCATCCGAGAAGCTGTCCCTGGAATCGGAGGAGCAGCCCTTAGCCAGGCAGGTGTTCGTGGTCCAGGAGCTGGAGATCCGAGACCGCCTGGCCTCCTCGCAGATCAACAAGTTCCTCTACCTGTACAGCAGTGAGCTCCTCCCCCGGCGGGCCCACTCGAACATGGTAAGGACCGGACCTCCCGTTGAAGCAGGTGCTTTCTCAGGAGGCAAATGGACTTTCTTGTTTTTGCTTTTGAAGACATTTCACTTCTCGTCCCAGGAGCTTCTTCATCTCTGACTGGAGGGTGGGGAATTATGGAAGGATGTATCCTCCTTGCAGACTGCTGGTCGTTTGCATCCTTTTAGAGATCCCTTGAGGCCACTTGGAGGTTTATCTGTGTCTTCAGGGTCACCCGAGTGGTGCAAATAGTTCCTGTAGTCTTCAGTTTTTCTTCTGGAAGTCCATTCCTGGTCCCACACAATTCCAAGGGTGTTTCCAGAGGAAAAATTGCAGACCACAGGAACCAGGAGCACCACTCAGGTGACCCCGAGGACACAGAGAAATCCCCAAGTGGTCTCAACGACCCTCTAAAAGGATGCAAATAACCAGCTGTCTGCAAGGAGGATAAATCCTTCCCTTTCACTTCATCCAGTCAGAGCTGAAGAAGCTTCTTGGATGAGAAGTGAAACGTCCTCAAAAGAAAAGGAAGGAAAGAACGAGAGAAAGACAGAAAGAAAGAAAAAGAAAGAAAGAAGGAGGGAGGGAGGGAGAGAAAAAGAAAAGAGAGAGAGAAAGAGAAAAAGGGAAGGAAAGAAGAAAAAGAAAGAAGAAAGAAAGAAGAAGAAAGAAAGAGAAAAAGAGGGAGAGAAAGAAAAAGAAAGAGAGAGAAAGAGAAAGAAAGGGAAGGAAAGAAGAAAAGAAAGAAAGAAAAGAGAGAGAGAGAGAAAGAAAGGAAGGGAAGGAAAGAAGAAAAGAGAAAGAAAGAAAGAAAGAAAGAAAGAGGGAGGGAGAGAAAAAAAGAAAGAAAAAGAGAGAAAGAGAAAGAAAGGGAAAGGGAAGGAAAGAAGAAAAGAGAAAAAAGGAGAGAAAGAAGAAAGAAAGAAAAAGGAAAGAAGGAAGGAAAGAAAGGAAGGAAGGTTGGTTGGTTCAATTGCCTCCTGAAAAAGGACCTTCGGAACAACCATGACCTGGATGATGGAGAATCTGTACAGACTTTGGAGCAGGGAAATGCCCGTTTCGTAGCCAATGAGGGGTGAAGATGCCCTGGGCCCATCTGGCCAGACCAGATGGAAGCAACCATGTTGAGCTTGGTTGGATATAGCTGCAGAATAACAGAATAACACAGCTGGAAGGGACTTTGGAGGTCTTCTAGTCCCACCCCATGTTAAAGAAGGAGACCTTATGCCATTTCAAACAAATGGCTATCCGATTTCTTCTTAAAAACCTCCAGTGTTGGAGCCCCCATGACTTCTGGTGAATTGTTCTCACTGACAGAAAATTCCTCTTTAGTTCTAAGTTGTTTCTCTCCTTGAATAGTTTCCATCTGTTGCTTCTTCTCCTGTGTTCTGGTGCTGTGATGATCCAGGGCGTGACACAAAAATAACACAGTCACAAAACTGGAATAAATTCCCTTTAATGCCTCCAGCTTGGGCCTCAATGTCCAATTATCCTTGGCTGGATATCAAACTCTTCCAAAAACAGTCTATGAAGGGCAGAAATGCAGTCCGAACCCAAAGTAAAGATAATTAGAAATTAAAAAACCAACACAAACCACACTGAAGTCATTAACATGGCAGGCCGGGATGATAAATTGCAGACTTTCACAAGATAACGCAGCAACCACAGTTGGGAGGATGCCAAAACCCAGATAATGCACGCTTTGCTTCCGTGTGCAAACGCCCCACTTATATTGTGTTCTCCCAACTGCAAGTAATGAAAGGGATCTGCGGCTCCTGTGCCAGCACAACTGGCTCTGCCTGCCACCTATGGCACGCATGCCATAGGTTCGCCATCATGGGTGTAGGGTCTCCTGCTTGGGCAGGGGTTGGGCTAGATGATCTACAAGTTCCCTTCCAGCTCTGTGAATCTGTTAAAACTCCCAGAATTACCCAGACAGCAATTCCCGTTCTCTTCCCCCTTTTTCCCCCCAGCTTACTATCAAAGCTCTTCATGTCTGCCCCGAAGCTGGCGTGGGGGGTCCCGAGTGCTGCCTGAGGGTCTCCCTGATGCCTCTCCGACTCAACATAGACCAGGTAAGGGGGACGCCCCCCTGTTTGGGGAGGGGACAACCTCAGGCAGGAGTTGTGAGACGGTGGGTGAATGTAGTTCCTTGCAACCCAACCACTGAGGACCTGGTCCCTTGACATGAATGGGGCAAAACCAAGATGGGAAGGGGGCGGGGGGGGGGCGTTGGCGTTTGGATTCTTCCACTTTTGCAGCTCTGGCTGACCTGTTCAGTCTCCCTTGGGAAGGGTCAGGGTATGTGGGAAAGACCTTGGGCACACAGGGCGAGAAAGCCCGTCTCGGGAGCAATTAGATAAGGGACAAGTTAGTCCAGAGCTGTATAATGGGAGGAGAAAAGGGTTCAGAGGAGACCCTCCCTAGTTTCTCAGCCTGTAAAAGACACAAGTGGGGGAGTTGTACTTTTAGACTTAAAATTTGATTCTATTAGTGAAACTTTGGGGAATAATAGGCACCTGAGCCCAGTGGGGGTGAATCTACGGAACGGGTTTCACAGGTGGCATGGAGAGCCCTCCCGGTGGGCACGCGTGCCGTCACCTCAGCTCAGCTCCACCGTGCCTGCGTGTGCGCCTCCCACCGGCCAGCTGGCCTTCGGGTCTCTGCCGGACATGCACGGGGACATGCGTACGTGGGGGGGGGGGGAACCTTGCATTTGGGGTATGCGCATGCATCCGCACAAAAGGTTTGCCATCGCTGCCTTGGCCCATAACTGTATAACGGACAAAGGAAAAGGTTCAGAAGAGACCCCCCCCTAGTTTCTCAGGCTGTAAAAGGAATGGGGGAGAAATGCAGGCTTCTGTCAATCTAAGTCCAGGTGGTAGTCCCCTGTTGTGGTTTGTGGGCAGCAGGTGTGCGGACGGCCGAGGTCTCGGAGAGCGAGGACTCAGGCGAGGGGCCTGCATGGGAGGCAGGGATGAGGCCAGGACCATCAAGGAGTGGAGAGTGTGGAGGCTGGCAGCAGGGAGGAAGAGGCCCCCGAGGAGCCTGTGCCCGGTGCGTGTGCACGCAGGGCTGCTCAAAGAGCAGCTGTGGTAGCACGGGCGACTCGGGAGTAAGGCTGCAAGGTAATGGCCCCTCCCTTAAGAGATAAAAGCCAGCTGAGAAACCGGAGTTCTTTGCAGAAGGCAAAGAAGTTTGATACCTGAGCCTGGTGGACGTTAGAATATCTGAGTTGGTATTTGGAGACTCTTGGATTTATTGTTTAGGAACTTTATCTGTTGTTCTTGGCAGCCTTGCCAAAACTTGGCCAGGCTCTTCCTTGTCGGAGCTAATTAGCGGGAAGCAGCCTTTGATCGGGGAAGAAACGGGATTCGTAAATGAAACAGTAAAAGGTTTTGTCTTGTGTTCACTCTCGTGGAACCGGGTTTGGGTCAGAACATCCTCTCTTCTTACGATCCCAGTTGAGGCCAGAATTTGTGTTGCCGAGTGAAAAAAGTTGTCGGGTGTGTTTTGCCCCATTTGTACGGCTTCCCTTGCCAGGTTGGTTAAGCGAATCACCCCAAGCGGTTCAGTGAGTCACACGGCTGTAAAGCGAATCTGGCTTCCCCCGTTGACTTGGGTTGGGTGAGAAGGTCGCCAAAGGGAATGACGTGACCCTGGGATACGGCCACCATCATAAATAGGAACCGGCTGCCATGCATCCAAAAAGGAAATCGGGCGACCGTGTGTGAATGCTGCAACGGCCATAAGTTTGCGAAACGGTCCTAAGTCCCTTTTTGGGTGCCATTCGAACTTCGGACGGTTGCTAAGTGAACTCTTCTTGTAAGATGAAGTCCACCTGTAGAGTGAGCTCACCTGGTTGTGTTTCGTCTCTGGTCCCCCTGAGAGCCGGGAGGCACCTGGGTTGGTGCTTCCAAGGGAGGGAAACGTCTCTCCAGCCCTTCTCTGCTCTCCTCCTCCTCCTCCTCCTTGCAGGACGCCTTGTTTTTCCTCAAAGACTTTTTCACCAGCGTGGCGGCCAGCATCAACCCTGTCGTGCCCATGGAAGCCGGATCTGAAGGTAGGAACCCCCCCCCCCCCGTTGTCATGGGGGCGCAGGGGTTAGAGGGCAGGAGGGCAGGGTAGCTCTACTGACTGCCGGTGGTTCGATCCTGACCGGCTCCAGGTCGACTCGGCCTTCCTTCCTTCCTTCCGAGGTGGGTAAAACGAGGAGCCAGATTGTTGGGGGCAAGAGGCCGGCTCTGGAAACCGCTTAGAGGGGGCTGTGAAGGCACCGTGAGCGGGATATAAGCCTAAGGGCTACTGCTATTGCTATCTATCTTCCCCCCTCTCCACCTGTCCCTTGGTCTGTTTGTCTGTCTGTCTGTCTATCCCGCTATCCATCCCTCTATTCATCCCCCCATCCATCCATCCACCTATCATCTATCTATCTATCTATCTATCTATCTATCTATCTATCTATCATCTCTATCTTCTATCATCCATCTATCATCTATATTATCTATCTATCTATCATCTATCTATCTATCTATCTATCTATCTATCTATCTATCTATCATCTATCATCATTTATCTATCTCCATCTATGTGTCTACCCCTCTATCCCTCCCTCTATCATCCGTCCATCCATCCACCCATCCATCCATCCATCCATCCATCCATCTCTCTATCAGTGGTTAGAATGCAGTCTTGCAAGCTAACTGCTCACTGCCACCGGTTCAATTCTGACTGGCTTAATGTTGACTTAGCCTTCCGTACTCGGGACCCAAGCACACGCAATGAGGCTTGCTTGAGTGTGGGATTGTGCAATACATGTGACGTTCACACAAGGACCCACAACGATGTTTGTGCGAGTGGGGCCGTATTGCGCAGAACACTGGCGCTGACAATTGCGCACGTGGGGCCGTGCCCACACATGAATGTGTGCATACCGGCCAGCCACTCACACACCCCAGTGGTGATTAGGCCACAGCCCGGCAGTGGGCTACAGCCCACAGGTTGTGCACCCGTGAACTAGGCCACCCGGTTGGTAGAAAGTGACGCTGGGAAATGTCGTTTTTGCCCTATCAAGAGGGCCAAACTCTTTTCACGACCTCCCAGCCTGGACTGGAATTCCTCCTGCGTTTGTCTTTCTTTGGCCGGGGATGATGGGTGCTTGTCTCAATTCCTGGGTGTGCAGAGGAGGGTCGCGAGGAATGTGTGGGACAAAATGGCCTTCGAAAAGAGGTCACCCCTTCCCTCCCTCAGGTCGGGTCGAGTCCCCAGGGAAGGACTCGGAGGCAGCCGAGAGGATGATGGCAACTTCGGTGGAGACCACAGCCAGCGAGAACAGCTCCAGCGCTTCCTCTTCCTCCGAGCAGCCCATTTATTTCCGGTAGGGGGGCAGGCAGGGCTGGGGGGCAGCGGCCGGGAAGGGGATCGATCGTAAGGGTGGGAAAATGGATGGGGAAGCCACCACCCCCCCCCCGGAACAAAGGATGCCCATCCGGAGTTCGGATCCAACTCCGTTTCCCAACCTCAGCAAGAAGCTAAGCTGGCTGTGGGAGTTGAAGCCCACCCCACCCGTCTTCCAACCTGCTGAAGTTGGGGAAATAATAATCTAGCTTTAATCTAATTTTTGAAATTTTAGCATTTCCAGACTGGAACAATGAGATGAGAGCAAGCTAAGGTTTTGCTAAAAAAGTTCTGAAGGTGTTGTGTTTTCATATTTTTGTATGTGTATCTGTGTGAGAGAGAGAGAGACAAAGAGAGAGAGACAGAGAGAGACAGAGACCGAGAGAAAAGAGAAAGAGAGAAAGAGAGAGACAGAAAGAGAGACAGAAAGAGAAAGGGAGAGACAGACAGACAGACATAGACAGAGAAAGAGAGAGAGAGAGAAATATATATGTATGTATGTATGGTATTCAGCTTTGTTTGGGTATTTTCCCACGTCATTATAGTTGTGCTTTTAAAGTTGTAGCGACATTTTGGCAGAATCTCATCTGTCATCATCAGGCTTCTGTATTGGGTTCGTCTGTGAGTCAGACTTTCACAGCCGTTTCTGTTTTAAATTTGGTGCTAGCCATCTGCTGTGCCAGAATGGTTTTTTTCTTCATCCTGATTGGTTGGGAGTCTTGGTCTGTGTTTATTGGTCCGTTTTCTCAGAGCCAAGGTGCACTAAAAGCCTCCAATAAAGTAACACAATGTTGCCAGCCAATTAAGACACAAAAAGCCACAAAACAGACAGAAGATATTAGAAACACCAATCAGGCAGAACACAGCAAACTCCAAGACCAATAAACACAGACCAAGACTCCCAACCAATCAGGATGAAGAAAAAACCATTCTAGCACAGCAGATGGCTAGCCCCAAATTTAAAACAGAAACGGCTGTGAAAGTCTGACTCGCAGACGAACCCAAGACAGAAGCCTGATGATGGCAGATGAGATTCTGCCGAAACGTTGCTACAACTTTAAAAGCACAACTACAATGACGTGGGAAAATACCCGAACAAAGCTGAATACCATACATGTAACTACCTGCGAAAACTTAAGAAAACATATATGTGTGTGTGTGTGTGTGTGTGTGTGTGTGTGTGTGTTACAGGTAGTCCTTGATTTACGACTGTTCACTTAGCAATGGTTGAGCGTTATTACAGACCTCCTTGGGGTACTGACGACAGATTTCCCATTAAAGACGGGGGTGAAAACTTGGATCCAGAAGTCCTTTCCCTGCCTCCCAGTCGTGAGAAGGGCCTTCCTACCGACCCTTTTCCTCTCTTCCTCCTCAGGGAGTTCCGGTTCACCTCCGAGGTCCCCATCTGGCTGGATTACCACGGGAAGCACGTCAGCGTGGACCAGGTGGTGGGTAGCTAAGCCACACCGAGCCCCCCCCACCCCCACCCCAAGTTAACAGAGTCAGAGAATGACAGAGTTGGAAGGGACCTCAAAGGTCTTCTAGTCCAACCCCCTGTTCAAGCGGGAGACCCTACACCATTTCAGACAAACGGCTGTTCCACTGGTTAATTGTCCTCCCTGTCCGGACGTTTCTCCTAAATTCCAGGTTGCTTCTCTCCTTGGTGGGTTTCCATCCGTTGTTTCTTCTCCTGCCTTCAGGGGCTTTGGAGAATAAAAGGAGCCCCCCACCCCCCTTCCTTGGAGCAGCCCCTCAAACGCTGAAATGCTGCTACCATGCCCCCCCCCCCCCCCCCCCCGGTCCTTCTTTCCTCTAGACTGGCCAGACCCAAATCCTGCAGCCGTTCTTCATATGCTTTGGTCTCCAGGCCTTTGATCCTCCGAGTTGCTCTTCTCTTCTCTGAACTTTCTCCAAAGTCTCAACCCCTTTTTTTGCAATGTGGGGACCAAAACGGAGTGCAGTATTCCAGGTGTGGCCTTACTAAGGCTTTATAAAGAGGTACTAGAGCTTCACCTGATTTGGATTCTACGCCTCTGTTTATACAACCGGGGACTAGCAGACTTCCAGCATTTGAGGGCCTGCCCCAAAGAAGAGGAAGGGGTCAAATTATTCTCCAAACCACCAGAAGCCGAGACAAGAAGCGATGGAGGGAAACTAATCTAGCCTGGATCTTCCTGGCAATGAGGACAATTAACCAGCGGAACTGCTCGCCACCAGAAGTTGTGGGTGCTTCATCACTTGGAGGCTTTTAAGAAGAGACTGGACAGCTACCTGTCTGAAATGGTATAGGGTCTCCTTGAGCAGGGGGCTGGACTAGAAGACCTCGAAGGTCCCTTCCAACTCTGTTCTGGTTGAGTTTACAATAACATTTAATTCATTTTATTTATTTGTATTTCACTTTATTCCACCGCCAGCCTCCCTCCAGAGAGGGACTCTGGACAATATACATCAAAAACTTCAAACTATAAAAGCAGCGTATAACAATTATTCACATTTTGGAATTAAACATTTGAAACTTTGTTTTAAAAACAAACCAATTCCGCTCTCGTTGCTTCCTGTTCCCCCAGGGCACCTTCGCTGGCATTCTGATCGGTCTGGCTCAACTCAACTGCTCCGAGCTGAAGCTGAAGAGACTCTGCTGTCGCCATGGGTAAGTAGCCCCCTCTCTTCCTCAGGGGTCAGGGAAGCGTGGGGCAGGCTTCTCACAATACGTAGGACCTGGAGGTTTTCTGGATGTTATCCGGAGGCTTCCAAGAAGAGACTGGACTGCCGTCTGTCAGAAATGTTGTGGGGTCTCCTCCTTGGGCGGGGGGGGGGGTGTATATACGAGGCCAGGAAAGAGGGTGGGGATTAAAAAGGACTTCCGGGTGTTTTTAGTTTTTTTTTTTCCTGCTTGATCTGTTTATCGGGAAAAAAAAGGTCTCCAAACGTGGCAACTTTAAGACTTGTGGACTTCAACTCCCAGAATTCTCCAGCCAGCTCTGCTTTCGTTTTTCATTCCAATATGCTTTCCATTTATAAAAAAAGATTGCATATCATCTATTCTATACTGTACATATTAAAGCTTTTGAGTGCTTGATTTATTGGAGGGAAGAACTTGAATACAGCACCAATAATATTTCAGCTGCAAGCAACAGAAGGGACCAGTAATAGCTGAAAGCTGGTACCTAATGAGCTCGAGAACGATTAAAATAGGGGACTTGCTTCAAAAAGCAGAGCTGGTGGGAGGATTCTGGGAGCTGAAGTCCACAAGTCTTAAAGTTGCCAAGTTTGAAGATCCCTGATCTAAAAAAACCCCACAACTTATTTAACCAGGATACCACATACATGAACACAAATAGCATTTCATGAGTACTAACTTGGGCTGGGCTCTTTTGGTGACCTCAGAGTGTCGCAGGGACTCACAAACACACTTTCTTTACATTTCAGCCTTTTTGTCAAGCCCAGAAATCCATTTGTGTTCCACCATCAGAATAAGCCTGTTACGTTTGTTATCTTGCCATCGCTGCAAAACCAATCCCTGCTGCCATTAAGTGAATCCCGCTGTCGTTAAGCAAACCCTGCTCCTCCCCCCTTTGAGTTTATGGGTTGGAAGCAAAGTGGGAAGGGCGGAAAAGGGGAATCGTGTGACTCCACACACCCCCACACCGGGACGCTGCAACTGTCATATCAGAGCGTTGGCAGCATGACTATTATTATGAGATAACCCATAGAACTCGGCACACAAGAGATCTAGACATTTAACAGTGGTTCATATACAAATATACAGAAATATAGGTGGTAGGCAAATCCCTGGCGAGCAATCCATCTTCTTAACTCTACACGGAGAACTCTGCAATGGATACTGGACATGAGAGAGAAACACGCCCTCTAATGGCTGCCTTTATATAGACACCTCTTAAAGATGGATGGGATTCTACCGGTTCGGATCGGTTCTATAGAACCGGCTGTGATGATTCTGTGCAGTTCAGAGAACTGGCAAACCGTGCCCTTGGGTGGCCCCTCCCCTCCCCGCCCAGTCAGTCCTTATCATGCATGCGCAACGTTGCACAGTGCCTAGTCCCCTGCCCAGTCACTCCTTAAGGTATTCCTTTTTTTATTCCCCTTCCGGTGATCAGCTGTGCCGGGATCCCCCTTGCTGTCTTACTGCTTCGCCCAGGAGGCAAAAAGGGGGCGCTGCGGGGGCTGCAAAAAAAGAGAAGCAGCCGCGCCCACAGAACCAGTTGTTTAAAAAAACGAGTCTGGCCCCGGGTGAAGACTTCTGTGGACCCCTTCTTTGTCTTAAAAGGGCAACATTCACGCTGTGCTGATCCATCCTTATTGCATCTTCCTGACAGCAGCTGGCAGCTATTAAATCTTATATCTCAGCGTGTCATACCTACATGCCAGTGGCCAAGTGCCCGGATTTTGATCAGGTGACCGTGGGGATGCTGCAGCAGTCATTGGCGTGAACACCTTGGTCCTGTTGTAACTTCAGATTGTCACTAAATGAATGGTTGTAAGTTTTGAGTACCACTGTGTGCCTCCTCTCTCTTTCCAGGCTGCTTGGGGTGGAGAAGGTGGTCAGCTACGCCCTGACTGAGTGGCTGACGGACATCCGTAAAAACCAGCTGCCGGGCATCCTGGGAGGAGTCGGGCCCATGCACTCCTTCGTGCAGCTCTGTGAGTGCCCCCTCCGCTCAGCAGTTCAGCGGGAAGCGGGTGGGTGGGTTGCACGGCTTTCTTCTCCTCACCCCCTCCCCTTTTTCTCTCCTCCTCCCCCGCCCCCCAATCAGTCCACGGCCTGCGGGACCTCTTCTGGCTGCCCATTGAGCAGTACCGCAAGGACGGGCGCATCATCCGTGGCCTGCAGCGTGGCGCCGCCTCCTTCGGCACCTCCACCGCCTCAGCGGCCCTGGAGCTCAGCAACCGGCTGGTGCAGGCGATTCAGGTTGCCGGGGAAGGGTCAGCTCAGGGAGGGAGAGCGGGAGGGGGTCTGCCAAAGCCCAGCCCCAAATGGGTGGGTGGGTGGGTGGGGGAGAAGCTGAATCCAGATTCAGGGGTGGGCAGCTGTGGCGACTGTATCACCTGCGGACTTCAGCTGTCAGAATTCCTGAGCCAGGCAACTGTGCCACCTATAGACTTCAATTCCCAGAATTCCTCAGCCAGGCACCTACCACCTGTGGACTTCAACTCCCAGAATGCAACTGCACCACCTGTAGACTTCCAATTCACAGGAATTGAAGCACAGGAATTCTGGGAACTGAAGTCCGCAGGTTATACCGTCGCCACGGCTGCCCACCCCTGACCTAGACATGTCCGTTCCCCGTGGGAAACTCCGCCCTCCCTTCCCTGTAGATGGCCGACCTTTCCCCCTCTCTCTCCTTTCCCCCATCCAGGCCACGGCCGAGACCGTCTATGACATCCTGTCTCCCACGGCTCCGCCATCTCGCTCTTTGCCGGACAGGAAGTACGCCCGTAAACTACGGCGGGGCCATCAGCCGGCAGATCTACGCGAGGGGGTAGCCAAGGCCTACGACACCATGCGTGAGGTAATCCTCCCTGGGGTTGCAGACGAGGGTTGGGGGGAGAGATTTAGCCCCATTTTTGGCTAGTGGGGGTGGTCTGACATCTTCTTCCTATTCCCCCCTCCCCCAACTTTTATTCAATCCCGTTTGATTCCCGGAGACCGTCTGGGGTGCCCAGACTTGGCCATTTTAAGACTTGTGGACTTCAACTCCCAGAATTCCTCAGCCAGCTTCTGGACTTCAACTCCAGGTTGAGAAAAACTCTCCCAGGAACAGCCTTTGGCTGCAAAAAAATCAAGTCCAAAACATGGTCAGCACAAACTGTAACTAGGTTCAATCAAGGCAAAATGAGGCAATTAGTCCGGCAGGGCAGGAGCAAGAATTCCAGACATGAAGGGCAGTAATTCAACATGGTTGGGAGGATGTCACGAACGGAGATGAGCAAAGTAAACTCACGTTTGTTCCTAGCAGACGCCGCTCTCAGCATGCATCTCTTTTAGACTCTCATTCCCAAGTGTGGCTAATGGAGGGAATCAAGGCCCTTTCCTCCCCCATAAGCCACGTATCATGTTGCTCCCTTCTCCATTTCTCCCTGCGTGCCCTAGGATGAAGAGAGGGTGGGCCTGGGTCTTCCTCTGAACCCCTCTCCCTTGTTCTACCTCTCCCCTGCTCTGCCCAGCCGGACTTTGCCCTTCCCCAGTTCCCTCCACAGCCAACGGAGCCCCACTCCCACTCCCTGTCAGCCCCTCGGCTTCCTCCTTGGATTTAGACTCCAACAGGGACATGACACCCTGCCTCCAACTCCTCTTTCCTGTCTCCTCCCCCTCTTTAGGGCGTCCTAGACACGGCCCAGACCATCTGCGACGTGGCCGCTCGTGGGCACGAGCAGAAGGGCATCACGGGGGCTGTGGGCGGCGTCCTGCGGCAGATCCCTCCCACCGTGGTCAAGCCACTGATCGTGGCCTCCGAGGCCACCTCCAACCTCCTGGGCGGTATGCGCAACCAGATCAAACCTGATGCCCTGAAGGAAGAATCTCTCAAATGGCGCTTGGAAGAGACCCAGGATTAGCAGGGGGGGGGGTTCCTCTCCCCCCCATGGATCCAAACCACGGACCCAGGCCCGCAGGGTCATTTGCACAGCCACGGAGGAGTTGGCCAGACCTGTGAGGAAAGGGGGGTGGGGTCCAATATGGCCTCAACACCTGCACATCCTGCACAGTTTGTGAGAGGTCAGCGGCCATCTCCTCCCGCCTCGCCCTTCTTTCTGTACTTTTGGGGGGGTCTCCCTCCCCCCCTTCCTTTGATGCATGGTCTGCAACTGTGTTTTCTCCCCCCCACCCACCCCCACACAAAAGCACTTGGGGGGGGAGGAAGAGGAGGAGGGGAGAGAAAAATAACTTTGAGATTAAATAGGATGTGACTCGTTTTCATGCTCTCGCTTGCTTGGATCCTGGTCAGATCCTGGCTTAATTGCGGGCAGGTGGGCTCTTTGGATTGGGGCCAGCCCGGAAAACCCAGATATTACGGCCGTGGCATTTGCCTTCACCCGGTTCCTCTGCAGCCCGCGTGGCAGGAAGAGGAGCCCCCGGACAGAGTTTCCAAACCAGGCGGGGGCCGCGCTGGGCTGCCATCGCTGGGATTCAAACAGACGTGGGTTTTTGTTTTTTGTTTTGCAAAGGAGCTGAGTTCGAAAGAGTTGAGCCGGCTGTCCTGCGGTTGCCCGAATGGCATTTTGACTATTTGGGGGGGGGTGTTTTTTGGGGGGGACTTTCTGGGAATTCTCTCCTGCTTTGGCATATCCTGCGATCCAGCTCAGAATGTTGAGGCAAAAAGATGGTTTATTGTTTTGAGGCCAAATGTGTGATGTATCCAATCAAGGTTTTTTTCTTAAAAAACAAAATGAGTTTCTTTAATCCTAGCTTTGCTTAAATCCGATCTATGATGGGTTAGATCAAGCCCAAATTCCTGTTTAGTAGATCTTTCGATTTGTATTGTGACCAGAACTGATAGGGCATTCCACCTGTGCTATAAAGTGGTCCAGGTAGAGTCCTTTGCTTACAACCATTCATTTACTGATCATTCAAAGCAGGGGTCTTCAAACTTGGCAAGTTTAAGCCTTGCGGACTTCAACTCCCAGAATTCCTGGGCTAACATGATTGGAGGAGGAGGAATTCTGGGAGTTGAAGTCCGCAAGGCTTAAAGCTGTCAAGTTTAAAGGCTCCTGATCTATCACCTATCTATTGATCATCTCTCTCTCTGTACCTACCTACCTAATTACCTATCTAGCTATCATCTATCTATCCATCTACCTACCTACCTACCTACTTATCTATCTATCATCTATCTATCATCTATCACAAGGGTCTTCAAACTTGGCAAGTTTAAAACTTGTGGACTTCAACTCCCAGAATTCCTGAGCTAACATGACTGGAGGAGGAGGAATTCTGGGAGTGGAAGTCCACAAGTTTTAAACTTGCCAAGTTTTCAGATTCCCTAGTTCAAAGTTTCAGTGGCACTGAAAAATACGACATGTGATCATTTTCCACACTTAAGAACCGTTGCAACCGCCTCCTGGTCACCTGATCAAAATTCAGACGCTTGACAACTGGTTCATATTTATGACAGTCGCAGTCTCCGAGGGTCACGTTTATGACCCTTTTATGACCTTTTGACAGGCAAAGGACAGAATTTGCCTTCGGAAGTGGTGGGAGCTCCATCCCTGGAAGCTTTCAAGAGGAGACTGGACTGCCATCTGTCAGAAATGGTGTAGGTCTCTTGCTTGGGTGGTGGGTTGGACTAGATGACCTACAAGATCCCTTCCAGCTCTGTTAATCTGTTTAAAAAAATATATGTTAAAAAAAAGTCAATGGGGAAACCAGATTCACTTAACCAGGTTCTTAATTTAACAAAAGTGACGATTCACTTAGCAACTGCGGCAAGAAAAGTCGTAAAATGGGGCAAAGCTCAATTAACAAATGTCTCACTTAGCAGCAGATATCTTGCGCTCAATTGTGGTCATAACTTGGGGATTACATATATTAGTATTCACATGATGTTTTAACAGATTAATGGCGTTGGAAGGGACCTTGTAGGTCCTCTAGTCCAGCCCCCGGACCAAGCAGACCCTACATCAGGAGTGGGCAAACTTTTTGGCTCGGGGGCCATATTGACTTTTAAAATTTGACAGACGGGCAGAGGGCAGAGCCGAGAGCGGCCAGCAGGGGGCAGCCGGCGCCACCCGAGGAGGAAACTTCTGGTTTCCGGATTGCAGGAGCTGAGATTCCCAGCCTGCGCCCCCCCCCCTCCCCACCCCCCGTGAGAGGACTCGGCCCCTTTCCTGTAAGCGTCGCAGCAGCAACAGCCCCGCAAGCGGCTCCTCCCTGCTCAGCCCACGCGAGCGCTCCGGGGTGCAGCTTTGCAGCAGCTGCTGCTGCTTCCTTGCCTGCACAGTTGCAGGAGTAGCTTCCCTCCCTACTCCAGGGGAGACTTGGGAGCAGCCTTAGAATATTGGAGGGGCTCCTATAAAGAAGGGGCGGGGCGGGGGGTGTTCTCCAACCTGCGCCCCCAAAGCCCCAGAAGGCAGGACAAGAAGCAGCGGAGGGAAACTGATGCCGGGGAGAAGCCAGCTGGACCTTGAGGAGGCATTTCCTGAAAGTGACGGTTCAACGGTGGAGCTTCTCTCCAGAAGTCCCCCAAACTCCCTCGCAACGCTTATCCTCCTCTGATTTTGGGCACTTGGGTGGGGGGGTGGGCTAGAAGACCTCCAGGGTCCTTTTGCAGCCCTACAACTCATGAGTTTGGGCGGGGGGGGGGCTGGACTAGAAGACCTCCAAGGCCCCTTCCAACTCTGTTATCCTGACCCCACTGCATTCAAAGCTCACACACACCCCTACCACCCCCCGGTCAAGGTTTGCAGGCGGGCCTGGCCGCCCTGGCCCCCTCTGAACCCTCTGGAGGCGCGGGGGGGGAGCCGCTTCCCTGGTCCGTCTCTGCCGCCCACCCACCCACTCCCGTCCCTGGCCCTCCAGACCCCCCTCCCCCCCGGCTCTGCAGAAAGCGGCCCCCGCGGGCTTTGGATTTGCAAATGGCCGCCGCCGTCGCTCGAAGGCAACAAAGGCTCTCCTTTCTCCCAGGGCTGCTTAGCCTGCCCCCCCCACCCCCCCTGTTTGTTTTCCTCTCCCTGGATGCCTGCCTGCCTCCCACGCCCCCCCCCCTCCATCTCTCTGGCAACCCCACACTGGAGGCTGGCAAAGCTGCAGAACTGAGGGAAAAAAAACCAGTCCCTTTAGCCAACTGGCCCCAGACTGAGCCATGGGGAAGCGGGGGGGAGCCACCCTGTCCCTGCTCGCCCCCTCCCCTTGCAGAGGGAAGCCAAAATCAAAATCCAGTGCCCACTGCCGCCTAGGGCTTTGCCAAGCTTTTCCCTGAATTTTTCCCCCCCCCATGAGGACTAGAAACTTGGGTTTTGTCAACAGCTACTTCCATGATAAGGCTTGAACTTGGAGGCTGGGCCTGCAAGGTGGTTTTTTTGGGGGGTGGGGGGAGAGGCAGATTTGCCTGTGGCCAGAGTGGGGTTTCTGCAGCGGCTGCCCCATTTGTGTGGGGTTGCCTTGCAGAGAATAAATTCCACAGCACATTGTGCTGTGGAATTTGAAGCCGGAGCAGTGAGCTGAGCTTGGAAGGGAGGGAAAAAAGCAGATTTGATCGCCTAAGTCAGGGCCAACTTTAAGACGGGTGGACTTCAACCCCCAGAACTCCCCAGCCAGACCTTCAACTCCCAGAATGCCTCAGCCAGGATTTCAGTTCCCAGAATGCCTCAGCCACCAGGTTGAAGTCTACAAGTGTCACCCAGTCTACCCAGCTTGGAAAACCCCTGGCCTAAACAAATTTCCTTTGATATTACAAAGAAAGTAGAATTTCTTCCAAATAAGAACTGAAAAAAGCCCCCCCCCCCCCCCCCCGCCTGGCTTTTAATTCATCTCAAGCCAACATCCCAAGAGGAGGTTGCATCTTTGCAAAGTTACAAGTTTCCGACTTGTACAGCAGGTGTGTACATGTGTGACACCCTGACTTGCAGATGACCCAGCCTTGCCAAAGTCCGGGCCTCGCAGCCAGCTTTCGCTCCGGCAGGTTGCACGAAAACTGCAAATTTGGGGCAGCCAGAGTAAAACGGCGGTTCGGTTCACGGCGGATAAACTCCGGGCGATCCCCGGTTATGACTCTCCCCTTCCTGTGAAAGTCCGGCCTTCGATCCCGTGTGAGCAACTTTGCCACGATTCTTCTTTCCGTTTGGGATTCCGAGCCCCTCCTCGCTGTCGCTGCTTTTCCAAGGGGGGAGGGAGGTCAGCCCCACCACGGAGGGGCTTGAAAATGGCCTCGGGAAATGAGAGACCCCTTTGGAGAGCCATTGGTGGTGGGGAGGTAAGCAGGAAAAGGAACTGGAAGGCTGGAGAGGAAATTACATCCCTTAGCCACAAAATCCTTGTGTTGTTTGTTTCTGGTGCGGTTGCAATCCCAACAGCTGGCAGGTCGCAGCTTTTCGGCAAGATCTGGGATGTTGCAAGGGGGTCCCGGCTCCCTCCACCGTTCTGGCAAAGCAGCTCTTCCCAGGAGGCTCCCAGCTGCCCCCTCCCCAAGCAGCACGGCTGCCCTCGCCCGGGGATGTCACCCGCCCAGTGGGGGGGAGGCCGGGTCTCTTTTCCACCACTCTCGGCTGTGTGCCAGGGCCGCAGGCTCAGGAGGGGCCCAGGAGAGGCTCCTGGCTCTGCTCAGCTCTGGCCAGAGTCGCCCGGATGGTGTGGGTCAGGTGCTGCAGGCCGATCAGGTAGCCGTCTTCGTGGCTCCCGGGGGTCCAAGCCACGTCGTGGCGAAGGTTGGAGTGGGCTGGCGCTGGGAGAGTCTTGCCAAAGTCGATCATCCAGATGCTGGCGTGGCCTTTCTGGTCGTGGAGGAAGAGCAGGGAACTCCCGATCACCTGGGAGGGAGGGAGCAAGGGGGGCGGGGTAAAAGGAGGAAGGAGGGAGGGAGGGAAGAAGGAAGGAAAGGAAGGATGGAAGGAAGGAAAAGTTAGAAAAAGGAGGGGAGGGGAAGAAGAATGGAAGGGAGATGGATGGATGGATGGGAGAGAGGGAAAGGAGAAATGGGTTGCAAAAGGGAGGAAAGGAAGGAAGATGGATGGGAGGAGGGATGGAGGAAGGAAGGAAAGAAAGAAGGAAAGAAAGAAAGAAAGAAGGAAGGAAAGAAAGAAAGGGAAAGAAGGAAGGTTGGAAAAGAAGAAAAATGGCAGAAGGAAGGAAGGATTGGAAAAAAGGGATGGAGGGAAGGAAGGAAAAGTTAGGAAAAGGGGAAGAAGGGTGGAAGGGAGATGGGTGGATGGATGGGGGAAAGAAAGGGGAGATAGATAGGTTGCAGAAGGGAGGAAGGAAGAAAAGAAAAATGAAGGAAAGGAAAAAGAAGGAAGGAAGAAACGTTGGAAAAGAAGAAAGATGGCAAATTGGAAGGATTGGAAAAAAGGGATGGGGGGAAGGAAGGAAGGAAAAGTTAGGAAAAGGAGGGGAAGAAGGATGGATGGATGGATGGGAGAGAGGGAAAGGAGAGGTTGCCAAAGGGAGGAAGGAAGGAAGGAAGATGGATGGGAGGAAGGAAGGAAGGAAGAAAAGAAAGACAAAAAAGGAAGGAAGGTTGGAAAAGAAGAAAGATGGCAGATGGAAGGATTGGGAAAAAGGAATAGAGGAAGGTGGAAGGAAAAGAGAGAGAGAGAGAGAGAGAGAGAGAGAAGGGAGAGAGAAAAAGGGAAGGAGAGAGAGGACCAAGGGGAAGGAAAGAAAGTCAAACAACTCTTGAAATGCCATCCAGCCAGGAAAAAAAAAACGAGCCCATTTTTGGGGAAGGCCAACTGTTAAATACTTCACGCAGAAAAGGCCTATTTGCCCTGCATTCCCCCCCCCTCCCCCTGTTTAAATGCTCCTGTTTGGAGACTCGCCACTTCTACGTGGATGGGCTGCTTGCTTTAAAGCAGCAGGGTGGAGCTGCCCCTGAGCATGCACAAAGTTCTTTCACCCTGCCGGATGCAAACCCCCCCCCAAAAAACACCCTGCTGCTTTCTAGCGTTCCTCTAAACCCCGGGAAACTATGGCAATTTTGTGGGCTTCAATTCCCAGAATTCCCTGGAGCAATTTTAAGGGGAATATTTTATCCCGATGAGTTTTCAACTCCCGTAATTCCAAGCGCTTTGCTCAGGGGGATTGTGGGACTTGCAGTTCCGGCAGGCCCAGGATGGAAGTGGGGCAGCTTAAAGCACAGGCAGGAGGTTTTTGTTTTGGTTTTTTTTGTATTTTACTCAGCAGGAATTGAAGTCCACAGGCCGTAAGGCTGCCATAGCTGCCCGCCCCTTCTAACCGAGCGTTTTTCAAATACTGCAAGCTGGGAAATCCTGGGAGTTGAAGTCCAGGCTTCTTAAAAGTCGCCTTTTGAGGAAGTCCCTGCCACAAAGGAACTAGACTCCTCTTGTTTTGCAAATTAGGTTTATACGTGCCCCGTTAGAAATAAGTTTGACTGGCTGCGTTCCCACAACTTTCTTATATCTGATTAATTGAATATAAACCTGGATCGGGGGTCTCCAATCTTTTGGACCTCAGGGACCACCAAACTCATCATTTTAAATCCCGCGGACCAGAGACCCTGGGAAAATCCCCCCAAAAGTCTACAGGAAAATTCCCCACCCCGTTTTCCTACTGATCGATCATTCTTTATTTAGGATCGCAGGATACCGTCTCCAGCTCCGTTCTCAGGGGGAGAGAGAGAAACTTTTGGCTTCATGCAAGGAAAGCAGCAGAAGCAGCAGGAATCTTTCTTTCTCTCCCCCAAACTCCGCTAGAAACGAGTCTTTGCCGGCGCAGCCTCTTGGAGCAGGAGGCCCTGCAGGATCCCAAAGACTCATTTCTGGCGGAATTTGGGGGAGAGAAAGACAGACTTTGGCTGCTTTCCTTGCGTGCAGCCAAAAGCAGAAGAAGAAAGAAGCGGAAAGAAGCAGCCCCGTGGCCAGGCCAGGCGCGTGGGGCGAGTGGGGCAGGTTCCCCCCCTCCGCCCTTTCCCCCCTCCCCTCACTACCTCGTGTTGTGTGCAATGCAAGCGATGCAATCCTTGTGTTCCCACGGGCCATGTGGGCAGCGCAGCCTTGTGTTCTCGCGCAGCCAGGGTTAATTGCTTTAGGGGTGACATTTCTCTGCGGATCACCAAAATTTTCTCACGCACCACCAGTGGTCGCAGCCCATTGGTTGCATAATCCACCGACCTGGATTATACAACGTGCCAAACTCTAAACGGAGTCACGAAACACGGAGACACAAGGCACTAAAGGCCACCCAGGGCCCAAATTAAACAAGCTTGAAAGATCCATGCAAATACAAGGATCTCGCACAGACCCAGTGTTTTGTGTGAATGCAGCCCTTGGGTTAGAGGAGGTTTCCTTACGAGTAAAATACAAAAAAAACCTGTTGCAGTTGCCTGGTGCTTTAAGCTGTCCCTCTTCCATCCTGGGCCTACCGGAACTGCAAGTCCCACAATCCCCCTGAGCAAAGCGCTTGGAATTATGGGAGTTAAAAACTCATCGGGATAAAATATTCCCCTTAAAATTGCTCCAGATGCTAACCCGGATTCTTAACCGGGAGCTCAATTTCCTGCTTTTTCTCAACACCTTCCAGTCCAAACCTGGGTACCCACAATAAGGGTAGGGGGAAGCGGGTCCCCCAGATTATTTTCCACAATTGGGGTAGTGGGATAGGTCAGTTCGGTCTCACGCCCCCTTGGAGAGCTGAGAAGCGCTCGGCTTTCCTCCTTTGGGGGGGGGGGCGAGGGGGTCCCCAGCAAATCACCTCGTGCCTCTTGAAGAAGTTGGACTCTTCCAAGGCTTGGCATAAATTCTCCAGGCGGGCCAAGTAGATTTTCTGCAAATCAAGGAGAATTAATGGATTAAGAGAGTTCGAAGGGACCTTGGAGGTCATCTAGTCCAACTTAGACAAACAAGCTAAACCAGGAACGAGCAAGGACACTCCCACCAACACTTATATGTAAACAGGGAGTGAACCCTACTCCCTTCTGACACTGATGATGTTCCCTAGTTGGGTAATGAAACATCTGCAAGGAAACAACCAAGCTCAGGGACCACCATGGACCCCTCCCCCAAAAACCCAAAATCAAATCCGCCTCAGGACATTTTAGCTCAGCCACTGATCAGAAACGTGGTCCCACTTTCCAGCTGCCCACTTTCCTCGGTCAACGGCTCACCAACACATCCACGCGATTCTTCACAAACTGCAAAAAGATCTCTATAATTTGATCCTGGCTCCGTGTCTGCTTGAAATCCCGTTGCACGGTTCCCCCCTCGATCTGCAAAGAGGGAAAAGGAGAGAGCAATAGCAACAGCACTGAGATTTATATACCGCTTCACAATAAATTCCCAGCCCTCTCTAAGCCGTTTACAGAGTCAGCCTGTTGCTCCCAACAATCTGGCTCCCCATTTTAACAAACTTCGGAAGGAGGGAAGGCTAAGTCAAGCCGGAGCCGATCAGAATCGAACCCCTAGCAGTGGGCAGAGTTAGCCTGCAATCTAACCACTGGGAGGGAGCGAAGGAAGGAAAATAGTCAATCTTGAGATGGTCAGGATCGAACTGCTGGCAGAGGGCAGAGTTAGTCTGCGATTCTGTATTTTAACCACTGTGCCACCGTGGTTAGAATAGGAATAGTAATAGCACTTAAGACTTATATACCGCTTCACCTTGCTTTACCACCCTAAGTGGTTTACAGAATCAGCCTGTTGCCCCCGACAATCTGGGTCCTCATTTTACTGATCTGGGAAGGACGCAAGGCTGAGCCAACCAAAATAGAAAATAGAATGACACGGCACAGTACAGCACAGAATAGAAAATAGAACAGAAAATAGAATAGAATGCAGAATAGGATAAAATAGAGTAGAATGGAATGAAATCTAATAGAATACTGAATAGGATAAAATAGAATGGACAATAGATAGGAAATAGAATTAGAACAGAAAATAGAATAGAATGCAGAATAGAACAGAAAATCAGAAGATAAAATAAAAGCAGAATAGAATAGCAATAGACTTATATCCCGCTTCATGGCACGTTCCAGCCCTCTATAAGCGGCTTACACAGTCAGCGTATTTCCCCCCCGAACAATCTGGATCCTTACTTTACTCACCTCGGAAGGACAGTCAGCCTTGAGCCAGTCAGGATCGAACTGCTAGCAGTCGGCAGAGTCAGGGTGCACTTCAGCATTCTAACCACTGTGTCACCACAGCTCAATTGAGAGAGTTTGGAAAGCGTGTAGCCTGCCCTGTTGACAGAAGACCTGCTTCTCCAGCATACACACACACACAAGATGCACACACACACACACACACACACACACACACACACACACACACACACGGGGCCCTTCTTCGGCCACTCACCGTAACCCCCTCGATCCGGAAGCCCAGAGAGGTGCTGGAGCTGCTGCTCTCCCTCCACTGCATGTAACGGGGCTTAGTGACGGCTCCTTGGCTGTGCTCCTCCGGGGTGGGGGCCCAGGGGTCAATCTTCACCATTTTCTGGTAGAGGTCTCGCCGGGGGGCTGCGCGGGGCTGACCCTTGCCCGCTTCCTCCTCCAGGTACGTTCTGGCCAACCGGGAGGAAAGGGAAAGACGCCTTGGTAAGTGGGGACTCTCTCTCCCATTCACTCACGAAGACAGGTTGTCCTCGACTTATGACCACGCTTGAGTATGTTCTAGATAAAACCCTGCAGGTCTGAAAGGAGGAATCTCCCTCTGTCTCTTTTAACAGCCGGGTAAGTTAGGACCGTGATGGCGAACGTACGGCATGCGTGCCACAGGAGGCACACATGAGAGCCATCACCCCAGCTCAGCTCCGCTGCACACCTGCGTGCGCCTCCCGCCAGCCAGCGGTCTCTGCCATGCACAGGCGCGGGGCAGGCTGCATGCGTGAGACACGTGCCGATGGGGGGGGGGGGTTGGGGGCAGCACAGGGGGACCGGGGAGGCTCCCACATGCTCCCCGTTTTGGGCCTAGTAGGCCTCCCTGCAGCCTCCTGGGAGCAAAAATGGGGCACGGAGGAGCCGCACCATCTTTGCTCCCAGAAGGCTGCAGGGAGGCCTACTAGGCCCAAAACGGGGCGCGGGGTGTGTGTGTGTGTGTGTGTGTGTGCCGATGCGTGTGGCAGCAAGGTGGGGTCACGTGCACATCCACCGTGGGGTGGGGCAAATGGGAGGGGGGCACGTGCACATTGCATTAGGGATGCTGCATGCGCACGCGCACACTTTGGCACGCGATAAGGAAAAGGTCGGCGGTCGTTTTCTTCCTCCCTCCCCTGTGCAGCCGAGGGCTCCCCGCTCTCTTCTCTGATCCGTCTGGAGGGATCCTTTGGATCCAGGAAGGTTTGGAAGGGGGATCCCTCAATGAAAGGGGCCCCCGATCCCATTCTCCCACCCGCACCCCGCCCGCCCTGCGAGGAAGGCCGCTCAGACCTGGTGCCCATCTTGCAATCCATGATGCTGGGGCGCTGGAGCCCGCGGAGAAGGTCGTCCATCTGGATGTAGCGTTCGCCACCCACTTCTGCCACCCCATGGTAGGTGGGCACAAAAGGGCGCAGGACGTCGGTCATCAGCTCCGACAGACACGCCGCCTCCACGGCGCTGAACTTCTTCAGGATTTGGCCCCCTTCGCTGGGCTTGAAGTTGCCTGCGAGGAGAAGGAAGGAAAACCGGTGGACTCCACTCCCAATGTGGCTGGAGGATTCTGGGAGTTGTAGTCCACCCATCTTAAAGCATGCTGACTGGGGAACTCTGGGAGTTGTAGTCTACCCATCTTAAAGGTTCTGGCTGGAGGATTCTGGGAGTTGTAGTCCACCCATCTTCAAGTGTGCTGATTGGGGAATTCTGGGAGTTGTAGTCCACCCATCTTCAAGTGTGCTGACTGGGGAATTCTGGGAGTTGTAGTCCTCCCATCTTAAAGGTTCTGGCTGGAGGATTCTGGGAGTTGTAGTCCACCCATCTTCAAGCATGATGACTGGGGAATTCTGGGAATTGTAGTCCACCCATCTTAAAGGTTGCTGGCTGGGGGATTCTGGGAACTGTAGTCCACCCTTCTTAAAGTTGCCACAGTCGAGAAACACTAACTCGCTGGCCTGTTCAGTCTCAGATTGGGGCTTGGCTCCTGATCCCCCTCCCCACACCTTCCCCCCGGCCACCCCACAGATTCTTGTGCAATTCATACCTTCGTGTCCGGCCAACTGCACCCAGGAGCTGCGTCGTCGCAAGGACCAGTGGACCATGGTGAAAAAGGTCTTCCAGGATTTTGTCTAGAGGAAAGCCAGAAAATGGGTGGTTGAAAAATGTGGAAAGTCAGTGTGTGTGTGTGTGTGTGTGTGTGTGTGTGTGTGTGTGATAAAACCAGAAACCCTGGTGGGGAGGCCTCAAACACAGATATATCCATGGATAGTTTTCCCACAATCCAACTGGCCGGGCGTGACAACAAATATTTGAGCTCAACACATCAAAAGAACACAAGACATGATTTCTTGGACAATTCACTCATTTTTCAAGCTACCAAGAACATACAGGAAGTCTTTGACTTATGACCATAACTTAGCCCGTAATTCTGGTGGTAAGTCTAGCCAGTTTTAAGTGGATCGCCCATACGACTGTGGCTGATGTTATGATGGCGGTCATTAATTGAGATTGCACGTAACTAATTGCACTATTCCAGTAATTGAGGGGCTGCCCCAAAGAAGAGGGGGGGTCTACTCTAAAGGCCAACAAAAGGGCGTAGAGTCAAGGCTTTGGTTTCCCCAGTTGCAATGTATGGCTGGGAAAGTTGGACGCTAAGGAAGGCTGAGCGCCAAAGAAGGGAGGCCTTTGAACTCTGGGGCTGGAGGAGGAGACCCCTGCGAGTCCCTTGGACTGCAAGGCCATCCAAGCGGTCAGTCCTAGAGGAGATTGACTGATTGCTCTTTAGAAGGCCGGATCCTGGAGGGTAAACTCAAAGACTTTGGCCATCTCATGAGAAGGAAGAAGGACTCCCTGGAGAAGAGCCGAAGAAGGCAAAAGAAGAAGAAGGAGGAGGGGACGGCAGAGAAGGACTCCAGAAGATGGTGGAGGACAGGAAGGCCTGGAGAAACGTTGTCCATGGGGGGTTGTGATGGGTCGGACACAACTTTGCAACTAATAACAACACATAAGGAGAAGAAAAACTATGGCCCTAAATGCAAAGAAAACAAGAAACTGCTCGTGCAAAGAATGGCGTTCCTAAACATTTGCAATCTGGGTTTTGCCGCATTACAGTTGCAAGGATGTGCAAAAACGTGTGCAAAACAGCCAAACACCAGGCACAATTGTCGGGGCCTGCCCGGCTTCCCCAACAGAGGAGGAACTGAGGTGTGTCACCCCCAGGCAGGAAATCTCAGCCTCCTCCTCCTCCTGCACAGCCAGCCGGGAGGGGCAGCTTCTCTTCAGCAACTCCGTCACGCTAGCGATGCCGACAAGCCTCCCCCCCCACCCACCCCGAAAACAGGCAGCGGGCACAGCCACACCTGGCAACTACAGCTCTGCAGCAGCCCAGGAACTCCCCCTCGACCGCAAGCATGCAGAGTCCTTTTGGCACCACGGGCTGCCCTGCACTCAGAGCCCGTCCCGTGGGGCTCCTCACGTGGTCCAGGCACGACGGGGCCGGCTCTCGTCTCGCTCTGTTGTGGCAACGCGGCAGCCTGGCAACCCAGCTTTGGAAGACGTGCAGAGAAGAGTGACTGAGACGATGAAAGGCCCTGAGACTAAAAGACGGGAAGAACGGCTGCAGGATTTGGGTCTGGCCAGTCTGGGGATAAGAAAGAAGAGGGGAGACACAGGGGCATCTCCCAGGAATTGAGGGGCTGCTCCAAAGAAGGGGTGGGGGGGGTGTCAAATTATTCTCCAAAGCACCAGAAGGCAGGAGAAGAAACAACCAACCAAGGAGAGAAGCAACCTGGAATTAAGGAGAAACTTCCTCACAGGGAGCACAATGAACCAGTGGAACAGCTGGCCACCAGAAGTTCATCACTGGAGGTTTTTAAGAAAAGACCGGACAGCCATTTGTCTGAGATGATATCGGGTTTCCTCCTGTTAGAGCAGGGGGCTGGACTAGAAGACCTCCAAGGTCCCTTCCAGGTCTATTCCGATTAATTGACTTTGCTAAGCAACTTCTAGGAACTGCAGAACGGTTAATCCTTCCTCACATCCAGAACCCACCAAGTCCAGATCCAGAAACACGCACACACCCTTCCCCCGCCAGCCTGATGGGTCCAGGGTCAAAAATGTAAAACTTGTCTGGTTTTCACTCCACAAAGGACGGGAATCAAACACAGCAACAATGAATACACTTCATTTATTTATTTCAGTTTTCTACACTGTCATCTTAAAACCGACAACTGGGAGGGTTTTTGCAGCGTGTTAAAACCATCTGACTCATCATAACGCAGCACTTAGTAAAATAAATAAAAAGTTTTTGCTATCTAAAGACGCCTTCTTTTCATCGCGTAGTGGTTAGTTGGCAACCAATCCAAGGTAACCCCAGTTTCTGACCAAGTAATGTTATTAAAAAGCCAGAACTTTTTAGTTAGAAGGCTGAAAAGTTATTAAAAAGGCAGAGACGTATTTTTTGAAAAAAGAAAAAAAAACCACAAAGGTTTTTTTTTTGTTGTTTTTTTTAAAGAGGGGGTTTGAGAAGCTTCTGCCTTTTACTAAAATTAATAGTTGAGGTTAGTCAGGAAAGAGACTTTTCAACTTCCAACCAGATGCTTAAGACATTTAAACGAACGAGGGGTTTAAACGATTGATGTGGACGTTCAAATGTTTGATTGAAGGGGACAACGATTAATACCAATTAATTAAAGAGGCAGTCCTCCTCAACTTACAATGATTTGTTTAGTGAGCGATGTTACAACAGCACTGAAAAAAGGGACTTACAACCATTTTCCACACACTTACAACCTTTTCAGCAATCCCCATGCTCACGTGATCCAAATTCAGAGGCTTGGCAACTGACTCGTATTTATGACGGTTGCCATGTCCCAGATTACATAATCCCCTTCTGATAAGCAAAGCCTGGTGACTCACTTATCAGTGGTGGTGATTCACTGAACAACGGTGGCAAGAAAAGTCGTAAAATGGGGCAAACCTCACTTAACAACAAAGACTACTTGAATATGCAAAAGGGTATTTATCAGCCTGTCTAGAAATTTGGCAATGGTAGGATTTTAAAGAATTAACGTGGCTGTTACCCAGGGCAGGGGTCTCCAACCGTGGCCCCTTTAAGACTTGTGGACTTCAACTCCCAGAGTTCCTCAGCCAGCATTCTGGGAGTTGAAGTCCACCAGTCTTAAAGGGGCCACGGTTGGAGACAAACAACCCCCACCTCACCCCCACATTAAGCCTCCCAGAACTCTCCCTAATGGACCTGTCCAGTCCGCTGCTCATTTGAGTTATTCATTTTTGCACAGGCCGATAATGTCAAACTTTTTTCTTTTTTTGCTAATCTTGCAGAAACCCAGGGCTGCTATTTTGCAAACAAATAGCTCTGAATCCCAGCATCGCACTTCCTTCCTATTTTAACTTCGACCTTTTCACCACCCGTCAAAGTTGGACTTCCTAAAAAAAAGTTGGCTAAGCAAACTCAAAACTTAACTGGAAATATTTTTTTCTTCTCCAAATCTTTGTTGTGAGTGGTGGTGGTGGTCAGTTATCCATAGAAAAAACGACTTTTGATGTAATTCGGGGTTGTTTAATCCGGATTTTGGGTGGGGAGCAACGCACGGGAATTGCTAAGGGAATCCAATGTTGGATTTTTTTCAAAAAGAGGAATTTAAGTTTCCCTAACTAAACAATGTTTCTCAACCCTTGAAGAGGGGCGGACTTCAACCCCCAGAATTCCTCAGCCAGCAATGGCTAGGGAATTCTGGGAGTTGAAGTCCACCCAGGAGTGGGATTCAGAAATCTCAGCAACCGGTTGGCTGCCTGGTTGCTGGGTGGGCGTGGCCATGGTGGGCGTGGTCCACCTTCAGAGGCTTTCCGGAAGCCGGAAACAAGCCCTTTTTGGACTTCCGGAACTTCCAGTCTGGCCCATTTTTTTGCCCTCCCAGAACCTCCACGCGAACCCTGCACTTATTTGGATCCAAAACGGTCCGTGTGGAGACTCCGGGGAGGGGAGGGGAGGGGAGGGGTGGGGCCAGCTGGTCGGTTCAACTACCAGTTTGGCGAACCAGATGTAAATTTAACAACTGGTTTGCTCAAACTGGCCCGAACCGGCTGAATCCAACCCCTGAATCCACCCATCTTCAAGCCGCCAGGGTGCAGAAATGCTGTTTATGTGGACGTAAATCCACATCCTGTTTTCTAATATGATGTTCTAATGCAAACTTCTTTTCTTTTTTTTTTACTTTGGCAAACACCAAGCAAGAGCTTTCAAGCTTAAAATGCAAACAGCCAAACAAACAAACAAACTTGGCTTTAAACCTTCATGAGGCCTTGGCCGGATTTCAAAGCGCCTCCTTTGCAGATTTAGCCCAGTTTTCCTTAACTTCCGTCCTTCAGGAGGGGAACGGAAGTGAAAAGATAGGCTTATCTGCGTCAATGAATCCCTTGCACGTATCCTCGACTTGCAACAGTTTGTTTAGTGACCATTCAAAGTCACAACAGCACTAGAAAAACCAGACTTGTGACCGATTTTCACACTTACAACACAGCAACTCCATGCACCACGATCAAAATTCAGACACTTGGCAACTGACTTGTATTTATGACGGTTGCCGTGTCCCCGAGGTCACGTGATCCCCCTTGGCGACAAGAACAGTCCATGGGGAAAAAGCAGATTCACTTAAAAACCCTTTGACTCATAGAGTAACTGCAGTGATTCACTTAACGGTGGCGAGCAAGGTCATAAAACGACCCCCCTTTTCCGAGCTTCCGACGAGCAACTGTCAACTTGTGAAAGATCCCTCTGCCTGTTTCCAAATTTCCGTAAGAAAGACGGGGGGGGGGGGAACCTGAAGGCGCAGATGGCGAGTGAACTCAGAAGCACATTCCAAGCTTATCTCACCAAGATTGTAACTGAGGCAACGGGGTATTTTGGCCCGAAAATCCTTTATTGGAGAACGTGGTTGATGACATTCAGCCTATGAACGTGTTTTGTCGGAGAATCTGAATTATGATGGGGGGGGGCGTGGGGGGGAAATGGGGTCATAGAGGATTGTAAATTACGTATCTCAGAGTCAGGCTTCATGCAGGTCGTGCCAGCATGTTGCTCCTAATAATGATGTTTGGCTCAAGGCCCATATGATTTAATTAGGGCAATCGCTGGAATCCTGACACAAACTCAGCAGAACTGGCTGGAGAACTCCGAAAGTTGAAGCCCACAAGCCTTAAAAGTTGTCAAGGTTGAATCCCCCTGCTTTTAAAGAAAGCCCCCCCCCCCCCTTCACACCAGCTCTGGCCCTCCGTGCGCGCGCACACACACACACACACACACACATCTCACCTTCCTCAGCACCCGTTTCTTTGTCGTGACCGACCTTCCTTCGATGTCGCTAAAGACGTCATCCGACTCCTGGGACGAACTGGCCAAAGATGAACAGGTGGATGAAGCTGAGATGGACCGGTCGGAAGGCATCCCTGGGGCTTGGCTTAGGTGGGAGGGAGCTGGAGCTGGGAGCACCCCAGAGGTCATCTGGCTCAGCGGGCAGGGTGGGGACCCCTGGCATGTCTGCAAGCCGTTGCTGGAAAAGGCCCCACAGCGCAGCTCGGCCCCTTCCTTGGCTGCCCTCGCCGGCTCCGACGGAGGCTCCGCCGCTTCCCACCTCTCGGGCTCCATCGGGTGAATGAAAGATCCCGAGGAGGCTGGGATCCATTCCATGAGGACTCCGAAGGATGCGTCCCCGGATCTCAGGCCAGGGGATTCGTGCAACGGCCCCCGGATGCTCCAGGTTCAGATTCCAACAGAGTTGTCTACACAGGGAAACCCAAACAAGGCACAAAAGCGTTAGCAGATTTAACCCAAAGGTGCTTTTTTTCTTTTCAAGAGGCAACCGGACTTTCTTTGTTTTTCCTTTGAAGAGGTTTCGCTTCTCATCCCAGAAGCTTCTTCAGCTCTGAACCGGATGGTGGGGAAGGGAAGGATTGATACTCCTTGCAGATCGGCTGGTCATTTGCATCCTTGGAGAGCTGTGGTGGCGAACCTATGGCACGCGTTCCGGAAGTGGCCTGCAGAGCCATTAGTGCCGGCACGCGAGCACTCGCCCAGAAAAGGTCCACTGCACATGCACGTGTGCCACCCGCCTGAAAGCTGATCGTCGGGTGCCTGGTGTGCAAGGGCAGGGGTGCGGCGGTGCGCAGAACACACTCGTGCATGCATAGAAGCATGTGGCGCGTGTGGGGGATTGCATGCGCATGTGTAGAAGCATGCAGCACTGACCGTGCACGCATGTGCCGAAGCGCAGGTCTTATGAGTTGCACGGGTTGTGCGTGCATGCGCAGGAGACATGGGGGGCCAGTGCGCATTGCCTTCTGGGCGATGGCAGGCGAGCAGGAGCAGGCAAGTGCGCAGGCGATTATTGGCACGGGAGCCCCTAAAGGTTAGCCACCCCTGTTTCAGAGAGTCACTGAGGTTACTTGGACCCTGAGAACACAGACAAACCCCCAGGTGACCTCAGTGACCCCCTCTCCAAGGATGCAAAGGACCAGCGGTCTGCAAGGAGTATCAATCCTTCCCTTCCCCACCATCCAGTCAGAGCTGATGAAGCTTCTGGGATGAAAAGCGAAACCTCTTCAAAGGAAAAACAAAGAAAGTCCGGTTGCCTCTTGAAAAAAGCACCTTTGGGACCACGATGACCTGGATGATTGAGAATCTCCACAGACATTGTGTAGATTTAACAGAATGAGCTGGAAGGGACCTTGGAGGTCTTCTAGTCCAACCCTATACCTATTTATGACCTATTTACTTATTGTACTTTTTTTTTAAAAAAAAATCATCCATGCTTTCACTACAAAGACCCATCAATTAGGAGCCACGATTACCCCTCTGAGAAAGAGAGGCGGTAAAGGAAGTCTTTGACTTACAACCGCTTGTTTAGTGACCCCGTTTGAAGTTGCAGCACCTCTGAAAGAAGTGACTTACGATCGTCGTTCGCACTTACGGCCGTTGCAAGCATCCCCAGGATTACGTGATCAAAATCTGGACCAGCTTGGCAGCCAATTCGTATTTACAACAGTTGCAGTGTTCCGGGGGGGGGAAAAGGGTGTGTGTGTCACTTGATCCCTTTTTGCGACTGCCTGACAAGTGAAGCCAATGGGGAAGCCAGATTCACTTAATGACCGTATGGTTGTTAAACAAGTTCAGGGATTCACTTATAACAACTCTGGCAAGAAAAGTTGCCACAAGGGCCAAAACTCACTTAGCGACTGTCTTGCTAAACAGTGGAGATTTTGGGCTCAGTTGTGGCCGTAAGTTGAGGACCCAAATGTACAGACTCTAAAAGACAGGTTTCACTTCCCATTACAGGTACTCCTTGAGACTTATGACCACAATTAAGCCCAAAATGTATGTTGCCAAGTGAGATGCGTGTCAAGTGAGCTTTGCCCCGTTTTAACACCTTTCTTGCCACCGTTGTTAAGTGAATCATTGCAGTTAGTAATACGGTCATTAAGTGAATTGGGCTTCCCCGTTGACTTCACTTGTCCAAAGGTCGCAAAAGGGGATCAATCATGTGACCCCTGGGACACTGCAACCGTCGTAAATATGAGTCGGTTGCCAAGCATCCAAATATAAATACATGTTTATGCAGATGCTGCAATGGTCATAAGTGTGAAAAATGGTCATAAGTCACTTTTTTCAGTGCCATTGTAACTTTGAATGGCCACTCAACAAACGGTTGTAAATAGAGGACTACCTGCACTGCCTTCTTCTCTAACCCTTCTCTAAATCACTGGAGGCTTTCAAAATTGGGGTGCCCTCTGTCAGAAATGATGTAGGGTCTCCTGCTTGGGCGGGAGGTTGGACTAGATGACCTACAAGGTCCCTTCCAACTCTTGTTAACCTGTTAAACCCTTTCTCTAACATTTCTTTTAATCACAGCAAAAAGAGGCCAAGAAACACATTTTTTCCCTTTCAAATCTTTATTTTATCTGATCTATCTTTGTTCCTGGAATTTAAGGAACTTCAAAAATCTTGCATTTTAAAGTTGCCGGAGGAAAGACGAAGATATATATATATATATATATTAATTTTTTAAAAACCAGAAGTCCAGTGGCAGATTTTTCCACCCTGGACCAACATTTGCAGAGAATTATGCAATTCACGAACATTTTAAAAGCAGAAATGAACTCTTTCCTAAGCTGCTGTTGTTAGTTTGCAAGAGGTAGCGCCAAACTCCAGATTTTTTTCCGCCAAGTGATATATTTCTTTGAAAGCTCTGCTTCCTGTCCCAGCCCTGCCAGGAATGTTAATTAATTGAGAAATGATTAATCAAACAATGGCAACCGGAGAAGCAGGAATTCCACTCAATAACTGCAATATAACATGAAAAGGCTCCAAAGTGCAAGAAATTAAAAACTGGTTTAAAGGAGAAGCCAGGATTATTCCACTTTTTCACCCACTTTGCTTCCTTGTTTTTAAGAAGCTGTGAAAACGAGGAAAAAAAATAAAATAAAAATAAGATTAAATCCTTGATTTAAGGATTAAAACCAACTGTTTGTCCAGTGACCAAAGCAAAGTGAAAAATGTGATTTTATGAGTGCTTTTCACAATTACATTTGCAACATCCTCAGTCACGTGATCAGATGCTTGGCTCGTTTCATACTTATGACCACTGCAACGTCCCAAAGTCCTGGGATCCCCCTTTTACGACCTTGTTTAATATAATTGAGACGGAATTCTTTTAGAGCCTTTAAGTTGACGTGAGAATCTGTTTTATATGCCGGCTCCTTCACCCACCCGTAAAATGGGAATAATTACAATTTAAGTCAAAATTCCCCCTGGGGAAGGAACCAAAAGGGAACTAAATCTAAACCAGATTCAGCTTCTAACTTCTAATTTTACAGAATTGGAACTGATGTGGAGTAATAAAATCCTTTTTAAGATCCTTTTTCCCCTTCAGGATTTTTTTGCAGGGCAGTTTCTGGTGCGCAACTCAACAACCGAAGTGGGGGCTCCAGCCAGCTGCCCCCCCCGACACCCCCAAATAACTGTCCCCCCCTTCCCACTGCACCTGACAGCTGAATGCACCTGTGTTGGGGGTTGGCCCACAACAGAAGCAAAAAGCAACATTAAACCCAGTTTATTCTGGGGGTAAACGCAATGGTAGTTTTGGCACGGAGTTCACCCACCCACCAGTCCTCAACAAGGGTGTGCAACAAGGAGTGTGTATTTGTTGCTCACAGCATAACAACCGTTGCTTTAGGGAGCAAAGTTACAACATCCCTGGAAAAAAACGACTTAAGACCGTTTTTCACCCTTACAACCACGCTGCAGTACCACGATTCAAAATTTGGACGCTCGGCCACTGACTCACGTTTATGACGGATGCAGTGTCCAGGGGTCACGAGGGATCCCTTCTGATTAACCAAGTTGACGGGGGAAGCCCCGTTCACTTAGCAACCGTGTGACTCACTTAAGAACGGCAGTGAGTCACAAAATGGGGGGAGGGGGGAAATTGACTTCACTGTCCCGCTTAAGCAACAGAAATGTTGGCCTCCATCCTTAGTTGAGAACTTTACCTGTCCCAAGCTGGGTGGCTGGACTAGAAGACCTCCAGAGTCCCTTCTGAGCTGATTCTAAGACCCAGTTGGCTGGATTTACACAACCCACTGGGTGCAAATCAGGGGTGTGTGTGTGTGTGTGTTGTTGTTGTTGTTGTTGTAGCTTGTGGGGGCTTCTCTGGGTCTCAGGGGGTTCCGTTTAAGCCCCATCCCCTTTCCCCTTGCTTCCAACAGTAATGGAACAAGGAAAGGGATGCACTCTGCCCATGCCCAGAGGAACTCTTTTCCTGGCCACTAAGGCAGAGATTCCTTTTCTTCGGAAAGCTGGAAGGAACCCAGTAAGGAAAGCAAAGAAAGGGCATCCAAACTGCTCCCCTGCTCTCCCACCCGCCCGCCCCCGCAGTCAAGCTTTTGGGCGACCCGCATCTGGGTCCAGACGCCTCTCTCTCGACGCGTGTCTTGCTTCTTCGCACGGAAAGAGCCTTTGCATGGGGAAGCCCCCCCCCCCCCACCCCATTTGCCCCCCCCCCCCCCCAAAGGACCCCCCCCCCGCTCCAACCCTTCCCCCTCCCCAGAGGAAACCCCCCTCGAGCCCCTTCTCCCCGGTTCCTCACCTGCAAAAGACGAAGCTACGGGGGACTCATCTTGTCCCCGCGTCCCCGGCTTGCAAGAGCACGTCAGAAAGGCGGGGAGAAAACCCGTGCAGAGAGGGTGGGGGGAGGAAGGAGGAAGGGCGAGGAAAGGCTGGTCTCGTGCTGCCCTCTGCTGGCCGCCGGGGACACTGCAGGCCTCTCCCCGAAGGGCAAACTCCGACTGGAAGGGAATAGAATAGAATAGAATAGAATAGAATAGAATAGAATAGAATAG